GTCTATTGGCTAGTTTGGGGGATGGAACTCTGGATGGCTGAGTGCCATTGCCATTGAGTTGATATAGAAATTAAATAACAATGGAGCTAATATACACCTTTGCTTCACACCATTATAGGTTGGAACTTTATCAGACAAATGTCCTTCCTTGTTGCATCTAATTATGAGTGTTGTATTTTCATGCAGCTTATACGTAAGCAGCAGAATGCATCGATCTATTGTGGAAGACTCTAACTTACTCCAGAGCCTATCTTGTGAAATTAAATCAAAAGCTGATCTAAGATCAATAAAAGCGACAAATAGGGACCCTCGGGGTTTCTTAGAGTACTTATCTACTAGGTGCCTTAGAATAAGGGCATGATCCTGTGTAGATATACCAGATCTAAATCCAGCTTGTTCATCTGCCAAAACACTCTCAGAGTCCATCCAATCTATCAATTTCCAAGATAAATGTTTGGTATAAAGCTTACTATTATGGGTTGTAAACTAATTGGCTTATAATTAGCTGGATTGTCTTTTTTACCTCTTTTATAAATGGGGATAATAATGGCTGTGCCCCATTCTGATGGCATGTGAGCGTTTTGGTCAATATAAGTGAAAAGGTTTGCCAGAATTGGGACCCACCATTCACAAAAAGCAAAGTGTGCTGCTTATATACTGCCCCATAGCGCTTCAAGCACTCTCTGGGCGGTTTACAAGTTAATTATGCAGGCTACACATTGTCCCCCCCCCCAGCGAGTCTTCTATCTGACCTCAGAAGGATAGAAGACTGAGTCAACCTTGAGCCGGCTACCTGGGATTGAACCCCAGGTCGTGAGCACAGTTTTGGCTGCAGTACAGCGGTTTAACCACTGTGCCATGAGGCTTGGGCACTTAATGAGTTCGGGAGGAATACCATTACAGCCTGGGGCCTTGCCAATTTTCAATTGGTTCACAAGATCTTTTATTTCAGAGTTTGATACAGGGTGCCATTCTGGTAGATGCATATATAAACAACTCACATGAAATGAGGGATTGTCTCTTTTGGCATAAAGCTCATGGAAGTGGGCTTCCCCCACACAAGCGTTAATATAGTTCATCCTAACTGAAAGATTATTGGTATTTAATGAAGAAATCAAGTCCTGAATTTTTCATGTGAATAGTAGCAGCACTGTGAACCTGCTTTTTCTCTCTCTCTAGATAAATTAAAATATTGAATTAAGTAATAGAATACAGAACCAATATCCCTAAAGGCTGATTAAGTGTTTTTTTTTTAAATCCACTTTCCCTTTGTTAAGTGCACCTGCCTCTTTTCATGAGTCTCATAATGAATCTCACTAATGAATTAAATCAAAATGTCACTTTAACATGGTTTTAGATGCTTCCACTCTTAGCTTTGATGGTTTTACAGATACTTAGGCTATTTAAAGGGAAAAAAAGCAATGGCAGCAAAACAGTAACTCACTATCAAAGACAAAAGGTATTTGAAAAATACATTTTCTCATACAGTAGAATAGTTTGATTCTCCACTCCATTTTCTGTCAACTTGACAAACAACTAATCAGAAGCAATCAGGTCTTGATATGATATGCCCAAGAGTCATTGTCTGAACTTTTTATTTCCTCAGGACAACAGAACCTTGAGGAAGGAGTGAAGAAAGAGATGAGTTGTACAGGCAGACCAGTGCTGAAGCAATAGCTGATGATAACTACCGTATTTTTCACTCCATAAGACGCACCTCCAAATAAGACGCACCTCAATTTTAGGAGAGGAAAACTGGAAAAAAATATTCTGGCAAATTCATAAGGCAGTAGCAATAGATAGATGTCACATCAATTACCTCAAACTTCTTGCAGTGTACAACACAGTGAGAGCTTTTGAACAATTTGTAGTTGGCAAAGTTATTCCAATAGCCACAGACAACAACACTACAATGCTTTATATCAACCACCAAGGAGGAACAAAATCCATGTCTTTCTTGCTACTAACAGTACAGTTTTGGGACTGGTGTATTCTCAAGCATGTCATTTCACAAGTCATACATGTACCAGAAGTGGAGAATCATGAAGCAGACTTCTACAGCAGGATGACACACAATGAGTGGGAATTACAGTACCATCTCAAGTTTTAACACTTATAATGAATTGTTATTGCACTGAAAGAGATGAATAAACAGATTGTTGCTGGGTAGTCAATAAGAGCTATGATGAAGAAATCACCACCAGCACAGGTGTAAGCAAACAGCAAAGCATGCCTCACTTCCACTCCCTCCCTTCCTCCCTTCCTTCCTTACAGCAATAAAGTTTTTTCTCTCTCCATCATTCAGTTCTTTTCTTTGCAGCATGCAGCATGTCCACAGAAAGTGTGCTTACTTTTATCAGCTTTTTGCAGCTGATCCTCCTGTTTCCTCCACTCTCTAATCATTTTTTCAGATGAGGAGGCCCAAAATGTCTCTGCACTGTTCACTGTTTCCATACTCCTTAGCATATTTTACTACCTCTAGTTTAAAAGGAAAGTTATATGCTAGCCTTTTCTGCTTTATCATCCTTGCACTGGTAGAATGAGTTCCCATACTCTGCAAGAAAAATGTGCCCCTTATACATCACGACATCTACTGCCTGCTTGCTTTTACAAATATAATCTCAAAGCAGCACAGAATCATAGAATAATGGAGTTGGAAGAGGCCTATA